CTCTCCTTGGATTTGAACCTGCGACCTGTCGGTCTTCAGTCCTGCCAGCACAAGGATTTAACCCATTGTGCCACCGGGGGCTCCTCTTATAGGCCATAACCAGCGAATAATGAGGACATAATCCCAATTGCTAAAGAGAATATTCTCAAGTCCTAGAGTCTAATAAACTCATACTCCAGAAGTCTATGTTGTAAGGCATCTGCGTCTATAATCTAATGTAACCATTTAAGGATGATGAACAATTTCCTCTTAGACCCACTCAGCAGAACCGGTTTTACTTGAGCTTATTCCCCAAAAGAAATTGATATACTTGAGTGACAACAATGTTATAAGTGTGCTTTAAAAAAAAAGTATGCACTCTGGATTAATTAAATTCTTCCAATGAATTGGAAGACTAAACCTGAGCATTTGCCATTTCAGAAACCAAGGGGTGGTGCCTTTATACTATTTATTAATGTTAACATTTGTTTATCCATGACCCATAAAGGCAGAAACAGAAGGCTATGTTCTCTATGAAGAGAAAGAAAATAAAAAGCTAAAAGACCAGATCATTTCCAGTTTCTAAATACACAACGCTTGTACCTGCTTGGGAATAAGCCCCATCAAACACAAACATCTATAGAAACATAAGAAACCGAGTTCTCTGGTTTCTTTTTTGATTCAGTAAATGGAATTTGATTATCATTTCCAGAATTTTCTGCTCTTAAATTGCATGTTGGTATTTACAGGCTTTAAGCTCTTTGCAGTAGGGTCAAGCAAAAGTCAGCAGCTGCAAACCTCTTAGCTTGTATGGTCTTCCTCAGGTTATCAAAAATAGACCTCAAAAGTGAAGATCGGATGAATTGTCTTGCAACGTCCTACTCTGTCCTTTCTCCCAAATTCAAAAACCACACAGAGCTACCCTGAGGGGTCTGACCCCAAGTTTGCATAAACACCACACATTTCTCCATACTTACACCGTCACTATAAGCAGGGATCGGTCTCAGATATTTCTGCTCCCTCACAAATGTTCTGTTATCAACACCTGTGGACCCCAAAATAGACTCCATTACCTGCGACACAAAAAGATCCCAGTCATAGAATCCATGGCTGACCATTCCCCCAGAAACACATTCAGTTAACCTCCACAGGCAACCTCCAGCCTGAATCTACATACTGCACAAGTATGTGTGTGTGTGTGTGTGTATATATATGTGTGTGTGTGTGGGGGGGGGGGTGTAGATAAGGCAAATATTATCATTCCTTCAGGCAACAGGCACAATCCTCTCACAATACCTCTGCGCTCAACACTCTGCCTGGTCCTTTCCTGGGAACCCATTTGAACATGCCAACACCCTTTGCCACGCATTATTTCACCAGCACTGAACCACTGTCTTCATCCAGGCTGGCAGCAACACAGTTATTAGCACCCGTTAACTTGGATACCACCCACATTCCTTTCCCCCACGCACCCACCAGAGGTGGACCAAGAAATAGTCACAAAATTTCAAACTGAGCAATGACATTTTATTAAAAGTCTCGTCAGACTCTGAGACCAATTAGTGGAAGCAGCAGATGGCGCTCTTCAGCCAATCAGCACTGGCCAGCTCCAGTCTGAGTCAATCAGCACCCAGAGCAGCAAAGGTCCTTTGCTTTGAATGGCTGTCAAACCCGTATAAATGTTTCTGTATATTTTCATTGCCTAATGTCAGTTTTGGGAGTGCAGACTCTGCTGACATCCACTTTGGCCGAAGTAAATAAAAGCCTCTGTCTTTTGCTTCCAAACCATTTGTGTCTCATTCGATCTTTGGAGCTAGGCACACATGTGGTTCTTGCAATCTGGAATCACAAAACAAATTCAGTTCCAAGCATAACAGGAACAAAAAAAAAATGCCATTTATCCACCTCCTCACCCCTTGTCATATCAGCAAAACTTATCAGAATACCTAAGCACGCATTGTCCCTAAATTTCTGGACCCCTAAGGGTGTTTGGGAATCCCATTATCCCAGACTTTTGCCATCCTTAATACATTTTGATGTTGCTTGCTTACATGTGCTCCAGTTGTTGGACAATATGCTTTGGCTCTGACTACCACTAGAATGTATAGAATTGAATTTTTCCCTTGGGTTGAAATAGTTCTTTATTCTTGGCCCAAATATTTCCCTTCTAACCCCTTTATCATAGCTCTCTCCACCATGCCTTGGCTCTATACAGGAGGGGATCAGCAAACTTGTGCGCATCTACACTGTAGAATTAATTTCATTTCACACCACTTTAACTGCCATAACTCAATGCTATGGAATTATGGGAGTTGTAGTTTGATGAGGCACCAGCACCCTTTGGCAAATTGAAACTCCCAGGATTCCACAGCTTTAAGACATGGCAGTTAAAGTGATGTCAAACTGCATTAATTCTACAGTGTAGATGCACCCAATGTCTTCTTGTGGAGATAGAGAAACACATTATGAAGAGAACCAAAAGGAAACGAACAAACTCTCTCTCCTTCTGCCATCCCTCTGGTGGAGGGTGGAGGTCCCGGTGGCATAGTGGGTTAAACCCCTGTGCCAGCTGAAGATCGACAGGTTGCAAGTTCGAATCCGGGGAGAGGCGGATGAGCTCCCTCTATCAGCTCCAGCTCCTCATGCGGGGACATGAGAGAAGCCTCCCACAAGGATGATAAAAACATCAAATCATCCAGGTGTCCCCATGGCAACATCCTTGCAGATGGCCAGTTCTCTCACACCAGAAGCAACTTGCAGTTTCTCAAGTCGCTCCTGACACAACAAAAAAAATCCCTCTGATCAAATGTAATAATAATAATAATAGTAAAACATTCACCTCCTTAAGCTGTTTTTGGTTATCGAAAAACCCCAAAAACAAGGGAGAGATATACAGAACTGTATGCAAGGCCTAGGGTCTACAACCAGAGCGCTATATCCTACTTTACTGTATCCCAAATAAATAAGCAGCAACATAAATTGTGATGACAGAAGGCTTTGCTGCTGAGCATCCTTCTAAGTTCATTTTTTTGTCAAGGAAATTGCTATTAGAGTACCGGTTCTGCCAGATTTGTAATACAAAGCGTACAGTCTGTAAACTCCTGGGCTCCTGGCCAGCTACTAAGAATCCCCAGTATTGTTCCAAAGCAAGTGATGAAAAAATCAAAGTGATCACAATTACATGATTTCAAAGCAAAATTAATTCAATGTTGGTGCTCTAAGAGTACGTCAGCGTGGATGGCGATATAATCCAGCTTTTATAGAAACGGCTTGCCTATACCATACCAGTTCTAGAGCTCAGAAAAGTTAGATTTTGGACTACATTATACATCACCCACGGCGCCCAGGTGCAAACAAACACATTTTGAAGCTTTGTCTAGATCTACTGATGGCAAGAGGAAAGCAAACAGGTCAACACAAACATGCAAACAGAAATGGGGGAGAAAGATTTGTTTTCAGACTCTCAATGTAATGCAATTAACATAAGTAGCAGAACAAGATCTTTGCCACTGCAGTGACGCAAGTGTGAGAAACAGGGCAGGAGGCCTCTGTGAAGCCTTATCTGCTTGGTTCTTTGTACTGAGAAGCACCAGCATTTTGTTTCTTGAATGCCTCTGAGCGGCTATTCACAAACATCTGCAGTCTGCTGGTTTGATTGTGTCATTGGGAAGGGAAATTGTTTAGATGGTGCTGTGCTCAGCGACAGATGTCAATTGGGAACAAAAAGCAAAGCCTCATTATTCCATTGATACTGAGGGTTGCTTCCCTTTGGCACATTTTGAGTCCTAAAAATTGTATTATATGGTTTTGCATCTCTTGATGCAGCCCAGAGAGGGGGGCTGGATCTACACTGCCCATATCCCAGGATCTCATCCCAGAGTATTATCTGTTCTGAACTGGATTATATGAGGCTGAAATCGAGCAATTTAAAGCAACCGTGGATAGTGAGATCCAGGCTGTGGATAGCGAAACCCAAATCCCGTTAAGCGGGTGACTGGTACCGGCAGCAGGCCGCCTATAGACTATCCTTCTCTGTCTAGCGCCCCCTTTTGGCTTCCATAAAGAAAATGGAGCAGTACCAAATATACAAAACCAGTATGAAACTGCAGTAAATGGTTAGTGTAGATGCCCTGAGTCCCATTACATTGAAATGGCATCCCTTATTATTGTTGTTGTTGTTGTGTCAGGAGCGACTTGAAAAACTGCAAGTCGCTTCTGGTGTGAGAGAATTGGCCGTCTGTAAGGACATTGCCCAGGGATGCCCGGATGTTTTGATGCTTTAACATCCTTGTGGGAGGCTTCTCTCATGTCCCCGCATGGGGAGCTGGAGCTGATAGAGGGAGCTCATCCGCGCTCTCCCCAAATTCGAACCTGCGACCTGTTGGTCTTCAGTCCTGCCGGCACAGGGGTTTAACCGACTACGCCACCGGGGGCTCCTATCCCTTATTATAAAAATGGTAGAAAGGAATTCCAGACAAGAATCAATCAGGGCCAGCTAACACTTCCAAACAAAGGATCCTCCCAGGCAGCAATCAGCCAGGTTACAAAGCTTGCAAGGCCATTAAATACTAATCACGGTGGCCAATTGCAACATTCACATTTGCCTCAAGCAGACAAGAGTTCTTTCTTCCATCTTGGATATTCCACAGATATATACACCCCACTTGCTTATTTTCCAACAGAGCTTACAACCCGTCATAGATGTGGGCGAAACGTCAGGAGAGAATGCTTCTGAAACATGGCCATACAGCCCGGGAAACTCACAGGATGGCCATGAAAGTCTTCGATCACACATTGCACAAAAGAAGGATTTTTTTTTTAGAATCAGAAAGGGGGGGGGGGAGATTAATTTTATTTCCAGCCGCGGGTGGCTGAAACCGCGGATACGGAGTGCTACCGAGGAGAGGAGGCGAAGCGGGTGAGGAGTGAGGCGGGGGGGGGGGCGCGAGAAGGAGCCCGGCGCGCGGCCTCCCCATTCCTCTGCGCGCCTTGGCCTTCCTGGCGGGCTGCGGGTGGGCGGCGTCTCCGGCAGGGGGCGCTGTGCGAAGGGGTCTCCGCRCCCTGCYGCTCCCCGGCCGGCTCCGCGAGGCGCAGGAGCGAGAGGGGCGCTCCGAGGAGGCCTTCCCCAGACCCCCTCCCCTCCCTCCTCCTCCTGATCCGGGACCATGTTCACCAGCACCGGATCCAGCGGCCTGTGTAAGTCGGCRGCGCCTCCCCCCTTCYTTCCTTCCTCCTTCCCTTCCCTTTCGTTCCCCGCTTTTCTCTGCGAAGGCCACGGTCTCCTCCCTCTTCCGCCCTCCTCGCCCCCTCCCTCCCTCTCTCCCTCCCTCCGTCCCGGATCCAGAGGCTCGTTTGAGGAGCCAGCCAGCCAGCCAGCCAGAAAGAGAGCGCGCGAGCGAGTGAGCGAGTGGGTGCGCGCGCTTCTGGGTTGGCCCTTTCCTGCGGGCGGAGAGGGATCTGCGTTGACGCAACCAGGACGCTTCTGCTCCAGACATGAGCGCCTTCCCCGCGGGCACGCTCCTCAGCCGCGCGCCCCCTAGTGGTCGAACCTCACAAGGCCGCCTGCTGCCTCCTCCTCCTCCTCCATTGAGAGAGTCACAGGCCTGAAAACATACTATGCACTGTATATTGCTTTAGCAAAAACTTAAAAAAAAAAGGATTTGTAGGAATTTGTCCCCCAAAGCCCAGAAATGGCTTCTGATTTGCTGCATCAACTGAATGAATGGCGTTTGCCCTGGAAAGATTGCTATTTAAATTATTTGCTAACTGTTTTTAAATTGTATTTTATTTTGTTGGGGGCATCAAATTGTGTCGACTGTAAACTGCCTTGAGTCACCTTCGGGCTGAGAAAGGCGGTATATAAATACCATGAATAAGTATTGCTTTGTTATATTTAATGGCATCAAATTGTGCCAAATGTAAGCTGTCCTGAGTCCCCCTTTGGAGGTTGAGAAGGACAGGGTAGAAATACTGGAAATGAATAAATAAATAATCATTTATTGTGTTGCCAGAGCTCATGGTGGTGCAGTAGGTTAAACCCTTGTGCCGGCAGGACTGAAGACTGACAGGTTGCAGGTTCAAATCTGGGGAGAGCGTGGATGAGCTCCCTCTGTCAGCTTCAGCTCCCCATGCGGGGACAAGAGAGAAACCTCCAACAAAGATGGTAAACAGCAAAACATCTGGGCATCCCCTGGGCAACGTCCTTGCAGATGACCAATTCCCTTACACTAGAAGCAACTTGCAGTTGCTCAAGTCATTCCTGACTTGAAAAAACAAACAAACTTCCAGAGCTTTATGAAATCCTTTTGGAGTTGGTATCAGTGAAGGAAAAACAACAGTTGTTTCCCGTGAGCTATATCTATATGCATTTTCATCACTTGTAGAGCTGAGCCATTAAAAGATAGCTGATGCATTTGAATGAAATATTGCAGTTTTAGCCTTATTAACTCTTTCAGCACTTTTGCATCACCTCATATAGTGATTTTTAGTAAATAAACACTTATCCACTAGTCATTAAGTCCACTGAAACATATCTATGTAAGAAACAATCCATGATTATTAGAAACATTTATTTACTCAAATGGCAGTTTCTCAAGTTGCTCCCGACATGGAAAAAAAAATTGGGTGCACCTACCCATTTTGGGATTTGTAGTTTCACAAGGTATTTTGCCTTTTCTATCAGAGGATGGACCTACGCAGTAAAGATGATGCAGTTTGATACCACTCCGTAATGGTTCGACGCTGTGCGATTATGGGACTTGTAGTACTATAAGGTCTTCAGCCTTCTTTGGCAAAGTGCTGCTGCCTCATCAAACTACAAATCCCAAGTTTCAGTTGCGGTCGAGCCATGGCAGTTAAAGCAGGGTGAAACAGCATTCGTTCTACTATGTAGATGCACCCTCCCCCAACTGAACTACAAATCCCCCAATTGAGATGTAGCTGTTAAGTATCAAATGGCTGTAATTGGACAGTGTGGATACATCCCGAGAAAGGGGTTCAAACCTTGTAATAGACTTTCAGATCTTGCCGAGAAGACCCTATGGGAGGCTTACCTTCGGGTGGCTCTAAGTCAGAAATGACTTGAAGGCACACAACACACAGATATTTTGTCTTATCTAATGTCAAAGTATATACGTATATTTCAAACCCGTGTCATCTGACAATACACAGAATCTGTGGTGCTGTTCTTTACAAAGTCACTTTGGAGTTAGATCCCATTGACGTCAGTGGGGTTTTGCCTTAAAGTAGGTATATGTACATTTTTATTGTGTCAGAAGTGACTTGAGAAACTTCAAGTTGCTTCTGGTGTGAGAGAATTGGCAGTCTGCAAGGACTTTGCCTGGTGGACGCCCAGATGTGTTACCATCTTGAGAGAAGCTTCTCTCATGTCCCCGCATGGAAAACTATAGCTGACAGACGGGAACTCACCCTGCTCCCTGAATTTGAACCACCAACCTTCAGGTCAGCAGTTCAGCCAGCACATAGGTTTAACCCATTGCGCCACCTGTTGCTTGTATCCAGTGCTTTAGATAAAAATGAGTCATAAGGTAAATTGTGATTCCAGATCAGTCACAGAGCTTATATATACTCTTTACAGGATATGTGTCTTTGCTTTTGTGTTTAGAGCCCCATTTTACATTTTTTTTTTAAAAAAAAATCAAAATTCTATGCATCTTAAACTCACAATCTGTGTATATGTTGCTGTGAATGCCTACATTTTGGCATGCCACCAATGTAATCCTAAAATGATGTTCTGGAGAGTAAGGGCCTTTCCATACAGCAATATAACTCAAAATATCAAGGCAGAAAATCCCGCTATATCTGCTTTGAACTGGGTTATCTAAGTCCTCACTGCCGTATATTCCAGTTCAAAGCAGATCATGTAGGATTTTATTCAGCTGTGTGGAAGGGGCCTAAATCATGCTGAATGTATATTTTACAGAACAGTTTACAGCAGCACTCTTCAAACTGCTAATAATTGGCTACTGGTTACCGGAGGTTTTCCAGGAGTGAAAGAAACACTTGTAGTCAGTGGGTGAATAACAGCAAAGGTTATGCCCATATGTGTGATTCTCACCTATCTGTAGTGGAGCTCTGCTTCTTAAACTGTAGGTTCTGACCCCAAATGGGGTCCCGTTAGCTTAGTGTTGAGGTCCCGAAAAAATGGGCAACAGTCAAAGGTTTTTGAATGTCACCTAGTGGCTGTTTAAACATCCCATGATATCTTTAGCGACAGCAATACAGTACAGTGGACTGCAGAAAATTCTTCAGCTGTACTTTATGAAAAGGAAAAATAAGTAATTTAGCAAGCCTTGCAAATGCTGATTCATTATTAGTAATTGTTTGATGTTATAGGTATTATATATATTTTTATACTAGGGGTCACATAGAAAAATCCTTGAGCCGAAAGATGTTGCAAGTGGAAAATGTTTAAGAATCTCTGCAATAGAGGACTGCTGTTGTTGGAAAATATTATACTCCTCCAAAACTTCCAGTTTCTTCTGCAAACCCTTAAAACTGGCACTGGAACATGCCCAGTGGGGAGTGAAGTAAACTGGCGAAGCCTTGGGTACAAGGCAGAATGATGAATTATTGGAAGTCATAGCAAATGTCTCAAAACTAAAAAGAAAACCTCTAACTGACCCTCTTTTGTTTCCACCCCTGAAAGAAATCATAGTGGACTACATTCATTATTTTGATCAAACCCTTTCCTTATCCTGCTTGCAAAGATCTATTTGAGTCTACTGATAAAATATTTCACACGGGATATCTGCTGCACCCCCAATTTGAACTGTTTATTCTTAGGATGTTTCGGGGGCACTTCCATTTTGAGCTTGGGTTTCTAAAATAGAAGCAGTCATGCTATAAATGAATTGTGGGTCAAATAGGTTTAAAGTTTACAGCATGCATCAATCCAACAAATTATAGTATGGTGCTAAAGTGTTTATTATACCTCTAAAATTAGCATGCATTTGCATTTTGAAATGTGCTGCAGGACCAAAGTTTTTTTTTATAGAGAACTGTACTTTCCTCTGTGGTTGACTTTCACATTTACTGGTATGTGTTGTTTACAGCTCTGGTTACTCGTCCTTGTGATATAAGTAAAAACAAGAGCTCACATCCTGTCTGCTAGGGTTTGAAGTGTGTAAAAATTGAAATGTCTCAAATGAAAACTGATGGCAGAGAAGTGGTATGTCTATCTCTGTATGATGCAGACAAGCATGGCTAATGTTAGTACTTAATACATTTGAGAAGATGGGGAAGATACTTTTTTTATTGTAGTGTAGGCAAGTGTTCCATTTTTACATTTATGAAACAAAATGACCCTCAAACATCTCTGGTTTAGAAATGTCTCTGTGGGACACTTTAGTCAGACAAATTCATTTTTTCCTAACCTAATATGCATAGAAGTACATCTATAATGTTTAAATGCAAGGCTGTCATTGGCAAGTGCCTCCCAAAGACTAGAGGTCCCTACAAATACTTTTCTCAATGTGTCTGGCTATAGCAGTGGTTCTCATCCTGTGGGTCCCCAGATATTTTGGCCTTCAACTCCCAGAAATCGTAACAGCTGTCAAACTGGCTGGGATTTCTGGGAGTTGAAGGCCAAAACACCTGGGAACCCACAGGTTGAGAACCACGGGCTATTGGAAAATGACATTGTGCCACTATTGATCCCCAGATTATCTCCACACTTCATTCACTTGCCAGTTTTTTTTATCATATAAATAAAAATGTTATTGGGGTAAAACAAAAAGCTTATTATTTATTAAATGTAGAGAGCAATTTAATGTATTTTGAGTTGTCTTTGAGGACAAAATCCCCCTTCACTTTGTTTCATTGAACTAATTCCAAGTGTTCATGGGAATAAGGTCTTAAAAGTATAAACATATTACAGTACAATGTTATACAGAAGTAAGCCCTAATAAATTCTGTGGGTCTGATCCCCCCAAAGTATGTATGTAGGGGAATCCAGCATTAACTTTGTATAAGCAGAATTGTAGAAATACCCATATTAGGGAGAAAACTGCAAACTGCTCCACTACATTCTACATAAATTCATAAATCATAAATATTTCCTTCTGAAAAGTAGGGAGAAAAATAAAAAAGAAACCATAAATTTTGTAGTAAGAAAAAACAAGTCCGTTATTTAGAAAAGGAGATTCTCCTGAAGTCATAGTGACTAGAAATATCTTTAGATATTAGTTAAATGCCATAACATTTACTTACTTGCTATATTTCTACCCTGCTCTTCTCTTCTCGAAGTGGACTCAGACTGACTTACAGTTATAGCAAAATCCATGCTGTGCTACAAATACAAATGTACAAATACAATACATTGAACAATTAAAACACTTGAGTTCTAGAGTATGGATCTTAATATTCTATTGGCGTAGATATATGAAAATGAACAGGTTGTATATGTAACTGTAGTTCTTTGAGTGGTCATTTGTGACCTCACACAAATGTGGTTATCTGCACCCATGTAGTGCACCATTCAAAACTTGTTAGAGCTCTTACCACCCATAGTCACTTCGTACTCTTACTTTCTCTTCTAAACCCTCAATTGAATGGATTCTGAAGCAGCAGTATTAAAGAAACTAAAGAGCGGCAGAACTCGAGAAGGGAAGAATATGGAGGGCTATGTGAATTTAAAGGTGACTGCTTAAAGAAGTACAGTTACCGGCATAAACCTATCCTGCACATGATGGATTAATGCTTGAACCAAGAAAATCCCTAAAGATGGCAGAAAACAAATCTCTTTGTCATTTGTCTGGAAAGTAGGCCATGGTTGCGTGAGAATCTAGTATGGCACCAATGAATTTTACAGCTTCCGATGGTACCAGATGAAACTTAGTCAAAGCCTAAAGAATTGAGCAGGTGGAGCATAATATTGATATCATAGAATAATATGTCTCATGAATGGACAACATGACACTACTTGTCAATGTAAGGTAACATGCCAACCATTGTTGCCTGAACCAAGTGGCCACAGGTGCCATCTGTTTTGTGAAAATCTGAGGAGCAATGGATGGTCTAAAGAAAAGGATGTAAAACCAATAGGCCCAGGTCTAATGGGGTATTGGACCTGTGGGGACTCATTTCTGGGTAGTCCTGGGAGTACCCAGGGGTGAGTCCCCATTGCCATCTCGCACCTTTAAGGCTCCTGGAGCCCAAAGGTGAGGGCTGACACCCGCCCCTCCCTCAACCCCAAATTTATCCTTAAAATTTAAATAAAATGTAGTTGACCACTATATGTTCCCTTCTGGCACCCTCCTGGAGCTAGGAAATGATGCGCCAGGAGAGGGTGGGATGGGGACAAGGATGAGGACGAGGAGGGAGCATATGATGGCCAGGTACATTTTCTTCAACCTTTAGAGGTAAATTTGGGGGGCTGTGGGGTGGCTGCATGCTATCCCAATTTTAATCGAGATGGCATATGGCGCAGATTTTTTAAACCCGCTTTGGTGCAGATTTTTTAAACTTGGTTTGGCGTGGATTTTAATCCTGTCTGGAAGCACCCTCAGTCACACCAAACCAAGGCAAACCACCATCCACATTGCAGTCAAAGAGAAAGTACAATCCAAACCAAAGAAATCCCAAAACCAGAAGAAAGCCAGGTCAAAATCCAAATCAACTGTATAGTCAAGAAAACCGAAAGACAGTAATTCTTAGAACAGTTCCTTCGATGCTGCTGTGGATGAAAAGGAACTGAGGGTTTAGGCAAGACATGTTGGGAACTAAGGATGTGGGGACTAAGTCTGGGTTGGATTCCCCCCCCCCCCCAATATTATGTAATAACTATTAAGGGTTCCAGACAATGCATTGCGCAGGTGCAGATAACCCAATTTATGTAAGTCACAGGGACCATGAAGAAGAACTTCACACAGCACCTTTATATAACTAAAACATTGTCATTATATTACTGTATTTTATTTATTGTTAAAGGGTGCAGGGATCATACAACTGGTTTTCAAGCATTCCCAAAGTTTCCAATTGGGAAACCAAAAACCAAAAACAAAAGCTTCAGGAAAAAGTAAAGGAAACCCCACCCCACACTTGCTATATTTTTTCTAGGTTTTCGCCTCTATAGCTTTTACATTGATTAAACAAAATAAAAATGCCTGTTATATGCCTAACGTTGATTTATTGTAATCATAATCAGTTTGTTAGCTTATGCTAGATTTGGAGGGAGATTGTTTCTTCTTGATATAAAAATATTTTCTTTAGCTTGTTTTCTTCACATATTCATAACTGAAATATCCTTTTATTTACTTACATGTGTGTATGTGTGTTTCCTTTTAAAGATAAAGCACCTTTGTCAAAAGGCCTTTTAATAATCCCAAGCACCTTCTCACTTTTGTTGGCTCTACTCTTTCAACAATACCAGAAGTTCTTTGTGTACAATCTACAAGCAGTGAAAGAAGAATTTCAGGTAAACAGCCATTCTTTTTATAAAACTGTACATATTGACACATAGTCATTAAGCAAGATACATTTTATAGGTTAGGATTTCTGTAGACCGTTTTGTTTTGTTTTAATATCTTAGATACACAATGTATTCTCTGCATTCTAGATGTGGAATCCTTGTGGTTTGAAGGTCTGATGTAAGACTATTCAGTTAATACTGTTAATATTGTTTTGAGCTCATATGTCAAACTGATGTAGCTGCCAAAGAGGACCTGGTAGAAGAGGTCAACTCTGTTGGCTTACCTCTTTTTATTTACTCAAACTTTAGGAAGAGTTTTTGCATAAATGTTCCTCCTTCGCCATATATTGACTGTTTTGTAGGTCTCAAATCAAAAGGCCAAAGGATTTGATCAAGCGGGAGACTCAATTATAGTTTTTGTACAAGGAATGTGTGCGTGCACTTGTGTGATACCATTGCTTATTGGAGACCTTGCTTTCAGTATATGCATTCCAATATACAATCGAGGGTGCTGTAAAAGTCTCCAGTGAGAGCCCTGGCTTGTATCAAAGCAAAATGACTCGGCAGTCTGCATAACATTATGAATGCTTAGAGCTCAGCCTGTCAAGCCTCCAGTAAAAAGTATGTGCTAGTGATGCAAGAGAGAAGGTGTTATGACCTGAGTACCTCAAGTCCATGAGTTGTTCAACAGGAGTAGTATGTGCCTTGTGGTCCTTGGCACATACAGCAAATGTAATCAAGGGGTTATGTTCTCGCCTACAAACCATGTACAGTATTTACTCAAATCTAATGCTTACCGTTTTTGTTGAAAATATCCTCCCAAAATTAGGGTGTGCATTAGATTCGTGTAATACAGTAATCTAAGTGTTGAGCCAAGGCAAAAAGGGAAGCTGCTTCAAGAGCACCTGGAGCTCCTATTGATGGGTATCATCTTTAATTTAATTGCCATGGCTCAATGCTATGCAATCCTGGGATTTGTGGTTTGGTGAGGCATCAGCATTCTTTGGCAGCTCCCATGATCCCAAACTACAGCCACCATGACGCCATAGGGTTACACCAGGACAGTCAAAATGGATTAATTCTACAGCATAGATGCACCCCAAGGTTTTCTTTTCAATTGCTGGAAGTTTTGGTGTTCTTACACTTTTGTTTTCGAAGAAGGAATTTTAAGCAGGCAGGCACTGTAATGGATACCTTTTTGGACAAATTACAAAGAGGGCACCTTTTGTTGCTGCACATTACATTCACCAGCAATTACTTTTTTTTCGTTTCAGAGTTTTGAAAACTTTGTTGTGCATTAGATTTGATTCCGCATTAGACTCAAATAAACAGGCTATCACTTGTGGCCGATTATGATTGCCTTTCATGTGTAGAATCTTGGTAGTGCATCCATAAGTAACCATAGAGACCTATTGTGGATCTGCATGGTCTTTTGCAGTGAGGACATCAATTTCCAGGTGGAAGGCAGACCAGACAAGGGTTGGCTTGATGCGCCTTCTTCTTGACACATTTCTCTCTTTTGCCCTCCATTCATGCCTCTTTGAATCTCACAGCACTGTTGGTCACAGTTGAACTCCAGTCACAATACTTGAGGGCCAGGGCTTCCCATTTCTCAGTGCCTTTGCTACAGTTTTTACGGTTAGCTTTAAGCCCATCTTTAAATCTCTTTTGTTGTCCACCAACATTCCCTTTTCCGTTCTTGAGTTGAGAGTAGAGTAATTGTTTTGGGAGATGGTGATCAGGCAAAGATAAGCCCATCTTTAAATCTCTTTTGCTATCAACCAGCATTCTGTTTTCCATTCTTGAGCTGAGAGTAAAGTACAGTAAAAGCTTTGGGAACAGTTTAATAAACAAATGGTGATACATATTGAACCCTCTTGCTTATCTCCCCATAGCGTTACCCAGTTGCTTATCTCCCCATAGCGTTACCCACTTCTCCCATAGAAATTTTGCCCAGATAAGCTTAGCTGATGTACAGCATGAGAGCATTCACTTAGCAAAAATTAAGAAGATTGTACAAAGTGAACACGGAGAAGCAACTGCCAAGAGGAGAGGGGTAGCTTCCTCCCTTTGTAAGGACTTCATTGCTGTTTATATCCAGCAGACAATGCCAGCAACCCCCTGCTTTATGCATATTGTATGCACTCAACTATAAATCAATCTTTTGGATAAGTTACAGGCAGGTTTTGGCTCAAAATTACTGAATTTGCTGTAATTCATGGGTACATCCAAGGGGCATATAACAAGCAAATATTTTCCTCCCCTTTTAAAAATGCATGTGGGGAACTTACTTAGGAAAAGCTAAAGAGAGGGAAAGGATCTGTTTATTTGATGAGTTACACTTGGGGCGGATGTGCATTGCATTACTGGTCTTAAAATCTATCTCTAAACTTATACAGTTAGAGATAGTGAAGATATCAAAGGGGAGGGGAAACTGTAAAGGCAAATGGCATTTCAGCACTGAAGGGAAAGATGTGGCAAGAGAGAGAGAGACAGACAGGAGAATGTATGTGAGAAGACTGGGTGTTGTTATGGTGACCCCAACTCATGTTTCCCATGGCTGGTCTAAACAATGCACATGAAAAAAAGGCAGCCCTCCCTCCACCTTCATCTTTTTTTTGAACCCAAGCAATATTCAACAGCAGTGGAAGGAATGTAAAGTGCAGTTGGTGCCTGGGGCTTGCTGCAACTCTACTGCTGCCCTTTGTTATAATCTAGAGAGGGAGTGCCAAACCTCACAAGGCTTGTACAGTAAGCCCCTATTAAAATGGTGGAGGGGAGTAGTGGAGGCAGCAGCAACCAGAGGCTGGATTGATTTCCTCCATGAATTCAAATGTATAATATTGTGTACATTTTTTTCATGCCGGGAGCGACTTGAGAAACTGCAAGTCGTTTCTGATGTGAGAGAATTGACCGTTTGCACAGACATTGCCAAGGGAATGCTCGGATGTTTTAACCATTTTGTAGGAGGCTTCTATCATGGGAAGCTGGAGCTGACAGACGGGGGCTCACCCCACTCCTTGGATTTAAATCTCTGACCATTTTGTCAGCAGACCATTAGGTTTAACCCATTGTGCCACTGGGGGCTCCATTGTGTAAATTTGAAATCATGAATGTTGCGCCTGCAGATAAGTGCCTCTCCAGACCTGACTCTGCAGAGGCACTTAACCTGGAGGGAGAGGAAAGACAAGGGTGTCATCCACACCTTGTTGCTGTACCTGCTGCCCCAAATGCAGAAAGTACAGAGCTTATCACACCAGGTTTGTTGTCAACTGTTTCCAGCTTTGACCTGTGAATAGGTCGGCCTAGGTTTTTAGACTAATTTTTAAAGACCAAATTAATAGTTGAGTACATGCAGTAAACTGCAGCAAGTCACAAAGACAGAGATCTGACCTTTTTAATTGCAGTGTGGGTTTGAAATGAGCATATGATGTTTAACGTTGCTTTAAGCTTACCTGGGTGAGTGGAGAATGCAGACATCCCTTTGTTTCCTTTGTGGTTTGTCTTTGAAATAGGAGGTAAAATGCTGTTCCAGTAATAACAGTGCACTTTGCTGAAAAGTTTCGATTTGACCACTATTAACCATTTTTATGACATTATAAGACAAATTGAAAGTGCCACGGACCAGTGGTTTTCCAATTAGAATAGGACACTTTTTCCTAAGCGCTGAGGAATCCCAACTGCATCAGCTGAGTGTGACTTCATTTAACGTGAACTTTGCAAGAGAAACATAATAAATGTATTTTGCATTTGTATAAAACAACTTTCCAAAAATATAAGTAACTTCGAGAAAAATTCACACATAACTCTTTTCTGCTATTTGTGTCATTTTGCATTGCAAATCCATGATAATCTCAAACCAAAACACATCTCTTAAAATAATTCCTGGAGTATGTAGAAAAATTCCTTATACCTGTGTATTTTTTTTCTTTTTTAGGTTTGGAGGCTTCTATGTGGGCGAACAGTATGCCTGGATCTCAAAGACACATTCTGCAGCAGTTTACTCATCTACAACTTTAGGATATTTGAAAGGCGATATGGAAGCAGGAAATTTTCAGTAAGAGAAAGTTCTGTTTCCTCTCATGTTTCACATGCAATACAATTGAAAAAGTTCTGTTCTTGAACCTATTTTCCATCTAAATATATCACTAAACCTTAAAATCCAGCTGTCACAGCTCATAGGGATATTGTAGAACAACACATGATTTTTTTTCTTGCATGTTTGCTACCTTTAGGTGTCAGATAGCTAGAAAGTAGAGAGCAAATGTGAGTGCTTTTATTTATTTTATTTTATTTATATTCTGCCTTTCTCACAGGATGGAGTAATTTTAACTCTGTCATTACATTGTTTCTTGCTATTGTGTATCTTCAAGTTACTTCTGACTTATGGTGATCATAAGGCGATCCTTTCATGGGGCATTATGGGGTATCTGCTTTGAGTCTAGTTTGTACAGCGATAAAGTGGTGTGTTATTATTATTAATAATAAAAGGTAAAGTTTCCCCCTAACATTAAGTCTAGTTGTGTCTGACTCTGGGGGTTGGCCTCATTTCCATTTCTAAGACAAAGAGCCGCCATTGTCTGTAGACACCACCAAGGTCATGTGGCCAGCATGACTGCATGAGTGCACTTACTTTCTGGCAAATGCAGTACCTATTGATCTACTCACATTTGCATGTTTTTGAACTGCTAGGTTGGCAGAAGCTGGGGATAACAGCAGGAGCTCACCTTGTTCCCCAGATCTGAACCACCAACTTTTCGGTCAGCAAGTTCAACAGCTTAGCGCTTTAACCTGCTGTGCCACCAGGGGGCCCATTAATAAAAATAATAATAGCAAATTTGTTCCTCTGAAACTGAGAGAGTGTGACTTACCCAGGTCATTCAGAGGATTTTCATGGCAGAGCATGAGATTGATTTGCAATCTCATAGTCCAGCACTCAAAACACCATGCCATATAGAATAGAGATCTATAGATAGAAAGGTATTTTTCCACTGTTGTTGCTTGCACTAGGCTAATCCAAACCAGGTACAATTAATGCTACAGAGATTCTCCCGTTGTTTCATTGACAATGCTGCACTCAGCTTGTACACTTCATGTGGTGTATTTGGATATTCTTCAGAGCTTTCAGTAATTTGTGTGGCCTATAGTCCCTATTTCATTTTGATTGTGTCCTTAGTTTCTCAATTATTTTCAGATTTTGTGTTTTATGTATTGCTTGCTTTTCTAAGATATAATTTATGTTAGTCTAACAATGTCACCCAGCTACTATTGCCAGATGTCCTAATTTTGAAAGTTCAAAAATTTGGACATGCTAATTAGCTATATGGAAAATCTAATATATTTCTAAATTAGGATGCTTGCAGTCTCCATTAAGCCTCTTTCAGCACCCTCTTTGTCTAAAAGTGAGAAGTATGGAAAGCAATGGCCCAGTTTTGCAAAGAAAGATGTCCTATTTCAGATACTGATCCTTCATGCTTTCTATTTTCCAGTCATTTTTGCTGGGCTCCTGGATGCTGTCAGTGTTGTTTGACCTACTCCTGGTAGAAGCTGTGGAGTATTCTTTTGGCCTGACGATCAATAGCTTGCCTTCAGGATTGTAAGTAGCTGTAAGAAGCTTGCTGATTTTTTTTAGTTTCAAGTGATTTCGTTTTAAAAACATTGTAACAATCCTTTGTTATTTCTGCTGCCGCATATTAGCCCAGTATTTTCTTATCCGGATCAAGTCAGGTATGGTTGATTGTTAAGAGCCATAATAAATGATCATATAAATCAGGTATGGGCAAACTTTGGCCCTCCAGGTGTTTTGGACTTCAATTCCCACAATTCCTAACAGCCGGTTGTGGGAGTTGAAATCCCAAACACCTGGAGGGCCAAAGTTTGCCCATGCCTGATATAAATGCACACTCAAGATGAGTGTCCAAAATTACTGCTAAATACATTTACTGTTAATCTGTGCCTTAGAACACAAAGAATATTGAAATTATGACCTAGACATTTCAAATATGTTCCTGCCCCATGTCATTTATAATACTACAATTGAATGTTTCATTTGCCTTTAGTATAGTCATCATAATGCCAAAATTTGATTTTCTGTGTATATTGTGCTGTTGTATCTTGTGTTGTGCAGTCCCTGATTATCTGAGATCATACCCTGAAGGTGTGTATCATATCCAAGCAGTAGCCAATAGGAATAATTATTACTGACAAATCAGGAAAAAAATGTGGAAATGTGGAATGCATTTTTGCTAATATCTCATCTAACCTCTAATGATCTCTTTTTAAAAAATTAGCTCTGAAAATAACCCCAGTGTTTTTGTCAAAAATATCCATTCTATTTGATATACCAACTCTCTCAAATTACCAAAATTAACAGCTTTGTTTTCTATCTGTCTATAAATATTTCTATACAACCAGAAGTATATGGGATTTTTTTGTTGAATATAATGTATTTATGTGAATGTTATTTTTCCAGAAGTCAACACTTGTGAGTGTGCTAATTGTAAGACCATATGGGGAAATAATTTGGCACTCTAGGTGTTTTTGGACTGCAATTCCCAGCTGCCACAGTCAGCATAGGCAATGGTTAGGCAGGCTGAAAGTAGCAGTTGAACAACATATTGAGCGATTTATGATTTAAACCAAAGGTGTCACACTGTGGCCCTCCAGGTGTTTGGGACTCCAATTCCCAGAAGGCCCAGCCAGCTTGCCCAATGGCCAGGAATTCTGGCAGCTGAAATCCAAAACACTTGGAGGGCCACAAGTTTGATAGCTCTGATTAAACAGTATTTACTTACTTAGGTGATCCCTTGTTTCCCGAGTGTGATGGCCTTCCAAGTGCAGTGTCTTGGCGGTGGATACATAGGTGACTGTAGAGCCTGATTCTTGACCCGCATGTTCTTTCACAGTGAGGACATCGGTTTCCAGGAAGAGAAGGCAGTCCCAATCAGAGTTGGTTGACGCGCCTTCCTCTTGTCATGTTTCTCCCTTTTGCCCTCCATTTGTGCCTCTTTGAATTCTACAGCACTGCTTGTAACAGGTGACCTCCAGTTAGAGCACTCAAGGGCCAGAGCTTCCCAGTTCTCGGTGTCTATGTGATTAAACAGTATACCTTTTTGGTAACACAAAATCTATTAAGCTTACCAGCTTAATATTAACTTCATTAAATGTTGTTGTAACATATTCAGTTGTACTGTTCCTGATTGTCTGGAATTACACACTAAAAATGTGTTTTAAAAAAGTGCCTACATGCTTCCTGGAGGGAGTGGTTGTCATTAGAATTAAAATACGATAGATAATAAGCCTTTATGATAATAAGCTGAAAAGATTTGTCCGATTCCCTGATGCCACAGGCTGCCATAGTGTACTGAACTGTCAGAAAGCAATAAAATGTTTTAAATACTTGTTTTGTACATATCTTTCAAGTAAATAACATGTTTATTTTGAACTCAACAGATTAAAATAACAAAGACTTTCTTTATATTTTATTATCATAGAAAGTCTGTTAATTTGACAACACCAGGTCAAATTTATGCCCCTGCTTTATAGAATCATAGAGTTGGAAGAGATCACATGGGCCATCTAGTCCAACTTCCTGCTAAACAGAAAAAGCACAATCAAAGTACCACTGACAGATGGCTATCCAGCCTCTGTTTAAAAGCTTCCAAAGAAGCTTTCATCACATTCTGAGGCAGAGAGTTCCACTGTTGAACAGCTCTTACGGTCAGGAAGTTCTTCCTAATGTTCAGGTGGAATCTCCTTTCCTGTCATGTGAACTCATTGCTCCAAATCCTAGTCTCCAGGGCAGCAAAAATCAAGCCTGCTCCCTCCCCCCTATGACATCTTTTCAGATATTTGAACATCATTTATTTATTTTTATCCCGCTTTTCTTCCAGAAACAGGATTTATGGTGATCATGTCTCCTCATCTCCATTTTCTTCCCTTATTTTTGCACTAGACTTTTCCCCACTGTTTCACTAAAGCATGCTCAGAGAGAGGAAACACATTTTGCCCAAGTTTCTTTGTCCTGGATTGCCTTCAGGGGGCATCTCAGGCTTGTATTTGCACTCTGGAAATAATGGACTGTATTCTGTCAGCTGCTATTGCTTAAATATCTATTGCAAATGAAATGTTTGATTTAGAAATAGAAAGTTTCCTACACGTGTTAATTTGTTGGCAGTATTGTGAACATTCTGATATAATATTTTTATCTGTGTCTCAAATCAGTTCTGCTGTATTAAATTCTACAGTTTCCAGAAAGTAACATAATAAGAGGTTAATGGCAAAGCAGGAAAGAGAAAAAAATAATAAGTAAATAATGAATACAAAGTGGAATTTAATAAATATCTGGAATCTCGATTCATTTCATGTAAGAGCAGTTTGCCTCTTTATTGGGGAAAATCAGTTTCGAGATAGGATTAATAAAATTGTTTCTTTGCCAAAATGCCGTGATTACTTTTGATTTATTCTAAGCTTTGCCATTCTTTATTTAAGTAAGATTGCCTTGTTTTATTCTTTTTATATCATCTCACTGTTGATGTTGCTTAATGACATCATGCTACCAGATCGCATACTTTTCCTCCGCACGCTTCGAAGGTAATTGCGATAAAGCATGACACTGATTACCCGGGCCTGAAATTGTTTAGAAACCAGGTAGTACAGAATGACATCCAGGCATGTGCTGAGATTCATAAGGAATGTAGTAAATGCGCCCCACGGATTGTAGCTCACATGTCCATCTTGGAGCATCAGAAATGCAAAACAAATGTGGAAAGGCACAAAACATACAAGCACTTGGATGATCAGTGTCACAATAATTCTGATGGATCTCTCTTTAGCTTTTGGCTTTAACTTGGAAGTTCTTCCATGTATGAGACTGTAAATGACAACTAGGTAACAGCCAATCATGATGAAGAGGGGAATTAAGAAAAAAAATACCAGCCGAGAATAATTTAACACACTAACTTCCTTTAGATAGATGATATCCATCATCTTAATGCAGGTGGTAAAGTTTGTAATTTTATCTGGATCAGAAGATAAGAACAACAGTGGAGAGGTTGTCACGAGAGTCATTATCCAGAGACCTGCACAAGCTATCAGAGCTTTGGTTGTGTTCTTGAGTTTCTTGGCATGTTTGGGCTGAACAACAGCCATGTATCTGTCGATGCTTATAAAAGCAAGCAGCCATAGGGCAATGCTGGGGTAGAAGACCGTGAAAGAGCTCAGAACCTGGCATAAGATGTCTCCAAAGAACCAAGTGCGTGTCACATAGTAATGCATCCGAAAAGGCAAAGTACATATAAAGAGTAAGTCAAGCAGTGCAACATTCATCATGTAGATAGTTATTGTTGTCCTTTTCTTGGTAGAACAGCTGAAGACCCAAAGTGCTGTGATGTTGACAAGTAAGCCAATAGTGAAGATAAAGCTGTAGAAAACCAGGGATGAAATTCTGTACTCTTCAGGGTGGCCATATCCAGACATGGCACTTATAGTATAGTTATTCATAACTTAATAACATGACACCTGGGATGAGAAAAAGAATGATACATTAATATCTACAGGCATCATCAGTCATCAGATCTAGATGTATTATTTTAAAACATCCTGAATTGCTATACAATATTCATGACATATAGTGGACAGAAAGTACAGATTAGTGGAGAATAATTTCACAAAATTGTTGTATCCTAGTCAATATAGTTCAAAATGCTTAGGGTGAGAGGAAGGAGCCCCCGGTGGTGCAATGGGTTAAAACCTTGTGCCAGCAGGACTGAAGATTGACAGGACGGAGATTCAAATCCAAGGAGAGCACGGATGAGCTCCCTCTGTCAGTTCCAGCTCCCCTTGTGGGAACATGAGAGAAAACTCCCTTAAGGGTGGTTAAAAAAAACATCAAAACATTAGTGCATCCCCTGGGCAATGTCCTTGCAGATGGCCAATTTTCTCACACCAGAAGTGACTTGCAGTTTCTCAAGTCACTCCTGACACGGGGGGAAAAAAGTGTGAAAGGATATGGTCTGTAAGAAGTTTATAACTCCGTTCTGTTTATCAGCATTTTAAAATTTAAAGAATAAACACTGCATTCTTTTCCATTTTCCTATTTAATTATTTTACAAGGAGAGAGTTTAACTGGGAAATTTAGAAAAAAATCTGTTCATCAAACTATATTAATGTGTATCAACCTCATGTTTTGTTTGCAACGTTTCTAAATACAGCAAAAGCAATATGAAAATGAGTGCAATAAACCTCTTCAGTGGGTTCATAGAGTCCATTGTCCAACAAAAATCAATATATAGATAACAGTTTTTCAATCGTCTTTTATATGTAGCTTTTTTGTTTTATCTCGTGGACATTGGAACAGGAACATGCAGATGATTACGTAAAACTGCAAATAAATTGTATAAACAGTCTCATAACAATTATATTATCGAGCAGGCACAGACTGGCTTTAATCTCCTTTTTCCTACAGTTCCATTATGTTTGAGTGACTGTTCAAGTCTCAAAGCAAGCATAACCTGTTTAGTGGCAGGACTTGGATGAAACCATGGTTTGATCCAGGTGTCGATGGTAACCAAGAGGGCCTTTGCACAGTTAAAACTTGTGCGTCAGCTGTAGCCGTCCCTTGAAAAGTCTGATCTGGCCAGACTTTTCAAAAAGTCTGATCTGGTCCATGCCTTAGTTACATCTCAGATGGATTACTGCAATGCACTCTACGTGAGGCTGCCTATGAAGACGGTTCAGGAACTGCAATTAGTACAGAGAGCAGCAGCCAGATTTCTAATGGAAGCTCACTCACTCCCTTGTTAAAGCAACTCCACTGGCTGCCTGTGAGTTTCAGGGCCCAATTCAAAGTGCAGGCCATTACCTATAAAGTCCTCTATGGTTCAAGTCCAACCTATTTGTGTGACCGCATCTCCCCTTATGAACCAACTCTGACCTTAAAATCCTCTGGAGAGAGGCCTCCTCATGGTCCCATCACCCTCACAAGCATGGCTGGTGGGAACAAGGGCCTTCTCGGTGGCGGACCCCCAGCTCTGGAATGCTCTCCCATAAGAAATCAGACAGGCGCCCTCTCTAGTTAACTTCCGGAAAGAACTAAAAATCCGGATGTGGAAGCTGGCCATCGAAAATGGGTGATTATTTTATTACGATGGTGGTCTTGTTAATATTTATTGGTTTTAAACTGGTCATGCCTCCATGGTGCAATATGTTTTTAAATCCAGCAATTTTAAAAAAAATCTGTTTGTATTTATTATTTTGATGCCATCTTTGTTTAATTTTCTTTTTGATTGTTTTCATTTGATGTACTGCTTATTTATTTATTTATTTATTTGCTTTGTATGTATTGTGATGATTTTGTTGTAAACTGCCCCAAATCCTTGTGGAGAGGGGGCAGTATATAAATGAAGTTTTATTCATTCATTCATTCATTCATTCATTTATTATGGATTGGCATTCTTTGTAAGAATCCCAGGAACAGCAATTCACCAAAAGTTAAAATAGGAGATTACTCTAATCTATTTTTCACCAGCCTTCAAATGCTGAGCATTTCTACAAATGATCCACCATATCTCCTAATGTATAAGTTGACCTCATGTATAAGTCAAGGGCCTGTTTTGGGTCCAAAATTATGGATTTTGATAGGACCTGTGAATATATCGAGGGCCTTTCCATGGCGGCCAGCTGCCCCTGGCTACTACCACCATTAAATGTCCATACAAGTACAGATGTGGTGTCATGGCAGAGAAAATAGAAGTGGCCAATGATTCCTCTATGTTATCCCTCTTCTTTGTTATCCATTCTACTCAGTGAAGGGGGTGTTGTTGTTTTTTAAGAGTTAAGGTACAGTATGTATATTGATCTCTGAATAAGTCAACCCAGGTTTTGGGGATGGTTACTGACTAAACTTCCTGTAGTTATATATTACTATATAAGGCAATGTATTGCTACCACAAGGGATTTGTGTAAATTGTTGAATTAGAATATTTATGTGTAGTCTTATCCACACACAAAAAAGACTTCTTGAATTTCCAGTAGATTGATAGTTTGGGAGGCCTAATGTAAACCTAATTTTGTTCTTAGTAAGTGGCAAATTCTAAGCAGCATGTTTAGTCCATGTCACTTGTGGCAAAAATTCAACTTATTTCCCCCCTGCTATAATTGTCTGCCTGAAATACAAAATGAAAGTGGAGAGACATAAGCCCCCACAAGGTTTTTTGACAGCAGATATTTTGAAAGAGGAAGTTTGTCTCTTCGCACCTTCTCACCTGCTGAAAGGTTCTTTCACTTTCTTGGCTGGGCTCCCAGCGCTTGTTGCTTTGCGCCTCCTTTCCCACTTCTCCGCCCACCTTGGCTTTTGTGGCCGAAAAAAAAACTGTGGCAAGGAGAAGACTCATGTTCTCACTTTATTTTTGGAGTTGCTGTTTCTTTCAGCTGCCTTTCTAAAATCTGCAGAAAGGGTGGACACTACTAGCTTTGGTGCTTCCTAAATTTTTACAAAGCTTGCTTTATTGTGGACTGGTGCTATTGCAATTTGTCGCTGTTAGTGCCAAAATTGGTTGATAGAATGATTCCAGAAAGTGCAGATAAGGAACAGAACAGTATGAGACTGTATTATAAAGGTCAGACAAGGACAGAAACAATTTGATGGTACAGAATAGAGATGACTCATCCACCACACCTACTCCCCAGTTTTAAAAGGCTGCAGTTAGTTGTGATACCTGAGTCTACACAACAGATATTTTGCAGAACCCTGCTGCAATACAGCCTTACAAATATTTGTCCCTATTACTAACCCACAGACTTTACTCTAGGCAGTCTACACATCCGTTCCAGCAGTATCTGCTCCCTGTTTAATAGCTTCTCATTTCATAGAATCATAGAATCAAAGAGTTGGAAGACACCTCATGGGCCATCCAGTCCAACCCCCTGCCAAGAAGCAGGAATATTGCATTCAAATCACCCCTGACAAATGGCCATCCAGCCTCTGCTTAAAAGCTTCCAAAGAAGGAGCCTCCACCACACTCCGGGGCAGAGAGTTCCACTGCTGAACGGCTCTCACAGTCAGGAAGTTCTTCCTAATGTTCAGATGGACAAGTGCCAGGCAAGTGAACATTTCTACACCTCCTATAGTAGGAATTTAGCTTAGCAATGCAGAGCTGTGTGCTGTTGTGAAACTTTGGCTCTGACCACCACAAGTGCCTGCCATAAAGCCCAGGTGCTACACTGGAGCACCTGTTCTACTCTGACTTTAGCACACTTTTGGCAGGATCAGAAAGAACAGGGCTGGCTAATCAGCTTGAACATAAGTTAACTCATGACTATGTACTGAATTACTTATGATCAATTACTGAATTATTCAATTAACTTTCTTCAACCTGTTTTGTCCTGTAGGGCATTGTGCTATTGGATACGTAGTAACATATTTAAACTGATTAATCTGAACACATCAGAGTACAGATAGACCCCGACTTACAAACATCTGACTATGAATCATAGTCAAGAATACGGATGTGACAACAGGAAGTGAGATAAATCCACCCCTAGGAAGGGAAATTCATTCCTGAAAAAAGTTATCATGGGGGAAAGGTGTATCCACCAAAGGTTTATCACCAATCTTTGTTTCCACAACAAGCCAAATTTTTCAAAATCCAGTTCTCACAGGGACAGAAAATGAGGTAAAATGCTGTACAGACAGCAAAACAAACACCACAGGGGTGTTAGCCCTTCCCTGTGCTATCTAAAGCTAGCTAGCTAGCTATATGCATATATAGCGCGCTCTCTCTATATATATATAGCTATAGCTATATATATATATATAGAGAGAGAGAAAGTGCTATATATATATCAACCAACCATCACCCAAGTCAAAAAATAAGCACCATTAAAGCCTTGGCAGACCGTGCAAAAAGAATCTGCGAACCCCAACCCCCAAGATGTACTGAACCACCTCAGCTGGGCTCTATAGGCCAATGGAAACTCCACCTCAGACATCAGAAGAGCTGCAAGACCGAGAACAAGCCATGAGAATCAAGACAAAGATCCACCCAGAGGAAAAGTGTTCTTGCCATACATCAAGGGAACCACTGACCGCATAGGGAAGCTGATGAGGAAACACAACATAGTCTACCGTGTACCATGCAGCTGTGGACAAGTCTACATAGGGACCACCAAATGCAGCTTCCCAAACACGAATCAAGGAACATGAAAGGCACTGCAGACTACTTCAACCAGAGAAGTCAGCCATAGCAGAGCACCTGATGAACCAACCTGACACAGCATATTATTTGAGAACACAGAAATGCTGGACCACTGTCACAACCACCATGTCAGACTACACAGAGAAGCCATTGAAATCCACAAGCATGTGGACAATTTCAACAGAAAGGAGAAACCATGAAAATGAACAAAATCTGGCTACCAAGTATTTTAAAACTCTAAAATTAGAACAGCAAAGCAACAGAGGGAAAACAATCAGGGACATCTAATCACCTCTCAACAAAAGATTGCCCCAGGCACTACCAGGCCATCAAATGCTAATCAAGGTGGTCAGTTGAAACATTCACACCTAGCTCCAGCAGACAAGAGTCCTTTGTCCCACCCTGGTCATTCCACAGATATATAAACCCATTTTCCTAGTTCCAACAGACCTCACTACCTCTGAGGATGCTTGCCATAGATGCAGGTGAAACGTCAGGAGAAAATGCCTCTAGAACATGGCCATATAGCCCAAAAAAACCCTACAACAACCCAGTGATTCTGGCCATGAAAGCCTTTGCAATACACACACACACACGCATGCATGCTCTCTCTCTCTTACACACACACATATATATACACACACATACATACACACACACACACACATATATACATATATATACATTTGGCTAGAGTTACACTTAAAAATGCACCCGTTCCAACTTACATACAAATTCAACTTAACAACAACAACAACAACGAAAAAACATGGCTGTGGCTCACAAATGGAACTTTGAAAAGGAGACGGAGGGCCTGATTCTGGCAGCCCAAGAAGAAGCCATTAGAACAAATGCCATCAAAGCCAGAATTGAAAAGTCGACAACAGATCCCAAGTGTAGACTCTGCAAGGAAGCAGATGAAACAATAGATCACCCTCAGCTGCTGCAAGAAGATCGTGCAGACAGACTACAAGCAGAGGCATAACACCATTGCTCAGATGATTCATTGGAACCTGTGCCACAAATACCATCTGCCTGCAACAAAGAACTGGTGGGATCACAAACCAGAAAAAGTTACAGAAAATGAACACGAAACTCCTCTGGGACTTCCGAATTCAGACAGACAGAGTTTTGGAGCACAGTACTCCTGACCTCACGATCGTGTTAAAAAACAAAGTATGGATTGTCAATGTTGCAATCCCAGGTGACAGCAGGATTGAAGAGAAACAACTGGAAAAGCTGACACGATATGAGGATTTAAAGATCGAACTGCAAAGACTCTGGCACAAGCCAGTCAAGGTGGTCCCAGTGATGATCAGCACACTGGGTGCAGTGCCTAAAGACCTTGGCCTGTACTTAAACACAATCGGCGCTGACAAGATTACCATCTGCCAGCTGCAGAAGGCCACCTTACTGGGATCTGCATGCATTAATTGCCAATACATCACACAGTCCTAGACACTTGGGAAGTGTCCGACATGTGATGCAATACAACAGCCAGGAAAGCAATCTTGTTTGCTGTGGACTCAACTTGTTGTGTTTAAAATAATAATAATAATAATAATAATAATAATAATAATAATAAGCAACTTTGTTTCTACCCCAAAAGAAGAATAGGACACAGTGGGCGGGCCAAATGTACTAGAAATAAAATTGATAAAAATTGATAAAACACTGGATGAGATAGGCAGAATATGTTTCTGAAGGAGAATGTTTTTCAGAGGGGGGAACTCAAAAGGGCCGAACAGTGGGGTTAAACCTTCATTAGGGGCAGGGGGAAACTTAAGAATGAACCTATAGAACCTATCTCATTCATAACTTGGGGACTGCCTCTACTGAAACCTTCAGAAAAGTTTTTAACATTAGAATTTCTATGTAGGCATATTTTACGAATTCGATCCATGTTCTGGCAATTCATAGGAATACCTTTCCATTTTACCATGTGATTGGATGTATGTGTTTTTGGTGTTCTAGAAAAAGGGGCAATAGCCAAGGCTGTAGTCCTGAGCATATTTATTAGTGAATGAGCCTCACTAAAAACAACATGATTGATTTTATGAGTAAACATATGGACAATGCCATTGTATTACAGTCAACTTGGCACTACCAGCTGTCCTTTATCAGTCCTTTAATCTAGCACGTGGAACATCAAATACTGGGGCTGAATCCAGATTGCTGGAACTCAGTCTGGATACTATTTCCTTCATTTGTATGGAATTTGTCTCCATTCAAAAATCTTAAAATACTTTTCCCATAGGTCAATTAGTAGCAGTTAAGACCTGTAGGCTAAAACATGCCAGTTCTTTGGGTTTTATTCTTCTGCCACAGCCCACCACATGTATTTCTTGACTGAGAAACCCCTATAAAATTCATGAGCTCACCATAAGTCAACAGACAGCTTGAAGACACACATGTACACATACACACACACACTGAGCATTTTGTAAGCTTACCATTTTTGAAATGCCCATCAGATAGCTGATCAGTACTCCAGCTAAGTTCCAGATGAAAATCAATTTACTTGGGATAAGTTAGTGTGATGATCCTCCAAGTATTGCTAGATTCCAGTTCATATAAACCTGCACAATTGATTGTGTTGGATAGGACCTATGGGACAGCAGTCCAACAGTATCGAGAGGACCAGACTTCCTTTAGATGCAATGATGTGTGATTCCCTTTCATTTCTCTTTCAAATACCCGATACGCCCAAATTTGAATACTGGTAGGGTTGGGGTGGGTTTGATTTTGTCATTTGGGAGTTGTAGTTGCTGGGATTTATAGTTAACCTACAATCAAAGAGCATTCTGAGTTCCGCAAATGATGGAATTGAAGAAAACTTTCCACACAGAACTCCCATGACCAACAGGAAATACTGGAAGGGGTTTGTGGGCATTGAGCTTGAGTTTTGGAGTTGTAGTTCTCCTACATCCAGAGAGCACTGTTGGATGATGGATCTTTACCAAACTTGGCACGAATACTCAGTATGCCCAAATGTGAGCACAAGTGGAGTTTGGAGAAAATAGACTTGACATTTGGGAGTTGTAGTTGCTGGGATGTGTAGTTCACCTACAATCAAAAAGCATTCTGAACCCCACCAATGATAGAATTGGGTCAAACTTTCTACACAGAACCCCTATGACTAACAGAAAATACTTTCTGTTTTCTTAAGGTCTTTGGTGACCTCTTGGACCCCTCCCCCCCTCTTGCAACCCCCCCCCCCCATGAGTACCAACTCCAGAGTCGAGAAATGCTGACATAGAGTGTTTGGCAACTGCAAATTCGAATCCTTTGGATTGATACAGAAAAGATTACTATACATTTGTCAAGAGAAATCTAAGCTCATGGCCCAACGAACAATGTTTAATGTCGCTCTCCCCACACATCCAAGTTCTCTTAGTTTAGTTTGTCTATTACTATTTATCTCTAACCTTTAAGATAACGTGAAAAGGGCCATGGCATTGACTATTAATATTTTCAACTTAAGCTGGTATGAGTACTTTTAATGGTAAGCATTGTGACAGAATGCCATAAAATACAAGCCGATTCTCAAAGAACCTTGAAACTTGTTCCAAAAAGGGATTATTTGAAAAGGTATTTCTGCATGTGGATGAGTGGGCATACATGCATTTCCATCTGTGTGTGGGAGACTCTGTCTTTTACTTTTCAAAATGATTGCTGATTTTCAGAAAGCCTTTATTTTTCTAGTTAAATTGACTGAAAAATATTGTATTTATAGCTATGGATTATATCAGCCAGCTGGAAGCAGTTCTGCACAATTTCCTATAAAATGTTCTTTGGATTAATAATTCGATTATTTCTCATCCTGCCCTGGTTTGATTAAAAATATTGTGCAGTTGTGCACGGTTCATCAAGCTTAATTTAGAATACTGAAGTATGAGCTTCAAAAGTTCTTAAGAGTGAAGGCACTAGTTTTTATTAGCACCTGTTGAAAATAATATAGATTTTAAAAGAGTTATTAAGAATGATGAAGATTGACAACTGACCACATCTTACCTTTTTGCTCTCTGCTGCTCTTTCAGAGATGCCTGCCTTATATTCCCAGACCAGTGAAAGATTTGGCCTTCTTCTCTATGTGATAACCTCCATGTACCAAAATAGAAACCTTTCTTTAGAGACAGGAAATGTCATAATGCAACTAGCTCGTTGATTGGTTATGTAAAGGAAACAATCTCTAATAAAATTTTGGTGCACAGTGTGTTGTTTTGTATGTACGTCTGTCTCATATGTCAGCTGATGAAATATTTCCTTTTATCTGCAAGTGTGATTTTCTCTTCTGACCTTTTTAAATCACTAATTTTTATCATGTAAGTACTGTAAGGAAATAAACATTTGTTTTTGCACTTTCAATAAGTGATTTCAATAATGGACATAAACTATTTTTAAAGAAAATGTTGTAACTTTGTGCTTCTGTGGAAATCCCCCTTCTGCATGTAGTTTGTCTTAATCGCCTCCATGACTTATTTTAAATTGGGAAGTACAGAATGAACGTGTTGATTATCTCCTTTCCTTATAATAAATACTAAGGATAAGTTTGTTCATAGCAGTTGGAATGAATTATTGTTCTAGTGATGAATATAAAAGTTCTAACTGTGGAAAAAAGGGATATACAGTATTACATAGTGTAAAGGTCATACTCAACTGCCTTTTAATGCATTTAATATAATATGGTGGTCTGAAGAAGTGAGCTAGAATAAGAAGGAATCAGTGGAGGTTTTGCAAAGAGTGGAATGTGTGTGTAAGCCTATGTGGATGCAAATGACTTTTGGTATGAATTTGTGTGGGATAAAGTGACTGTACGATAACCAGAATCTTTGTGTATAAAGTAGGTTTCAGAGCAAGACTGGATAACCTTCCAGTACAACAATATCTCGAGGGCCAGTTTCCCTAGACCTATTTTTAAAAAATAGGATTCCCTATCTGTAAAAATAGATTGCCTCTTCTCAAATGTTGGGACAGGTCATTGTTGAATATGCAGAACACTCAAAAGTTAAATGTGCAAGAATGGATGGGCACTCATGCAGGAACATTCGTTCTCAGGCAGTCGATTCTTCCATTCTTCCTTTGACCAATCACTGGTTGTCTGATTCATTAACAGATTTTGGAAGAAGGAAACTCAAGAAAAAACTAATACTTTGTTCTAATGGTAACTTATTGCAATTTTAGGACAGGAGTCAGAGATGTCCTGTTTTTCTAGCATCCATATTAGCTAGATTTTCTGGTTTTTACAAGTAACAAAGCACATTCAGCTGCATGTGCAGATCATATTAAAAAGAGATAACTTTTATTGGGCTGTAACAGAAGCCTATGATTAGATATGCTTGGTTCTAAGACTAAGTAGACAGTTTTGACATGATGCAATATTAGTATGTTGAAGAGGCTAGGTGGATGAATGCACCATAATTGTGAGAGTCCTGAGAGATACATCATAATAATAAAACTTATTTTTTAACTTGCCCTGTCTTCCTGGAGGGACTCAGGGCGGGGATACAGGCCCCTTCCACACTGTCCTCCAGAGGTACTTCTCGTCAGTCAGAAGGCAGACCAGGGAATAGGGATCTAGCCTGTGCTGGATAGGGTTACACTTTCCCTGAAGACACAGGCCTGCTGTTTGGAGGTCCTCCTGGACTCAGCACTGAACCTGGAGGCCCAGGTATCAGCTGTAGCCAGGAAGACATTTGCACAATTAAAACTTGTGTGCCAACTACGTCAGTTCCTTGAGAAGTCAGATCTGACCATGGTGGTACATGCCTTAGTTACATCCCATCTGGACTACTTCAGTGCGCTCTCTGTGAGTCTGCCTCTGAAGAGTGCTCAGAAACTTCTGTTGGTTCAAAGAGCTGCAGCTAGGCTGCTAACTCGGGCTGGCTAAAGGGAGCGGACAACCCCTCTGCTGCAGCAGCTCCACTGGCTGCCAGTTCGTTTCCGGGCACAATTCAAAGTGCTGGTTATGACCTCTAAAGCCCTAGGTGGTTCAGGTCCAGGCTCTTTGGCAGACTCCATCCCCTTGTACAAACCTGCTTGGGCCCTGAGAGTTTCAATAGAGGCACTTCTCTCGGTCCCACCTCCATCTCAAGATCGGTTAGTGGGAACGAGAGAGAGGGCCTTCCTTCTTGGTGGCTGCCCCTCGACTCTGGAACTCCCTTCTTCCCAGGAAAGCCAGAATGGCCCCCTCCCTGCTGTCCTTCCAGTGGGAGGCTAAAACTTTTTTATTCAGAAAGATGAAGCTGTTTAAAATCTACTCAGGAGGTGCTATAGTTTTTAACTTTGAATATGTTTGGATAGATTTCAACTGTGAATTTTTTAGTGCTATTTGTGTTTAATTCTGTTTTAATGTTTGCATATTTGTATTTTTAAAATTGTATACTAATGTGTTTATGTCAAACTGCTTTGAGTCCCCTCTGGGGAAGCAGGGTATAAATAATAATAAGCAGGGTATAAATAATAAATAAGCAGGGTATAATAATAATAATAATAATAATAATAATAATTATTATTATTATTGTTATTTTCCCTTCTTCTCTTGTGTGCTGTCTACCTACCTGAATTGCTCTTTAGAACATAATTCAAATTTGGATCTTGAGACGGCACTAGAAGGCAGTTACATTTATCAATCTAACTATAGCTGACCTTGCCTTTCCTAAACACCAACTAGAATATGTGAGATTCATTCGTACTCTCCGGAAGGAACCTTTTGACAGGATTCTTAGCTCTACTGAGATAAATCTTAAGTGATCTCAGTGGTTTCTTGAATCTGAACCATTTAAATTCGTCTCCCAAAATTGGAAGTAGCCAGCACTTCCTCTGAGATCACCTCTGTCATCTCAGGCAAGGAGGAAGTGGGGCAGTAGTAATGGATGGTTCACCAACAAAATCAAAATGCTTTTCCTAGTGTCCTGTTACCAGATGCACATGCTGAAACCTTGATGATTGTTAGATAGGTTACTTTAGTAGGATCATGGACTTAGTGGTAAGTTATTCTCACTCTATCTCTACCCATTGGATTTTGCTACCTTGTGCACTTGTAAATCTGGTGGACAATATTGGAGAAATTTGTTCCTCAACATACACACACATTTCTTGCATTTTATTTTGGATGGGTTGATAACGTTTGCATTTCAGGTTTGCTCTTGATGTAAATGACAAAACATTTGTGCAGTAGTGTTGCCCTCTATTGGTCAATATCTAGTATAGCTGCAAAACAGGGTGCTGATGTCAAAGATTTGCTGTATACAAGTCAAGTATCCTTTATCCCAAATGTTTGACCCTTAAATGTTTTGGATATTTTTGAATTTTGAAATAGCTGTATTTGCATATATAGTATTACCCTGGTACCCGTGACACAGGCAGCCATTGTTTCGTCTACTCACATGTGACAAAGTATGTTATCTAGGAAAATTCTAGGTTTTCCTGTGGGACTCAATGTTAACTTTTAATAATAGTTGTTCATTTCAGTAGGATTTGCTATTATTCATGGTGTCCTATTTCCATGGTATGTTCAGGATTGTATACCCCACAGACACAGGAGTCATACTGTATGTACATAATGAGATATCTTGGCAATGGAACCCAAGTCTAAACATGAAATTCACTTGTGGCACCTGGTAGGCACAAGTCTGCCAACATGAAGCAGGTGAATATAGAACTGAATGAAACATGTAGAATAATCACAGGATGTCTCAAACTTACACCTGTTGGAAAACTCTATAAGCTAGCTGGCATTGCTCCCCTGATGTGCATTGGGAGGTTGCTGCCAACTGTGAGAGAAATAAGGTTGAACAGTGTGAAAGCCATCCACTACATGGCTATCAGGCTCCTCCGAGTAGACTCAAATCAAGGAAAAGCTTCATGAAAACCATGACTCCACTTAATGTTCCTCTAGCAATAGCAAGAGTATCCCTCTGGGCAGCTAAACCAGGAAATCCCAATTGGATGGTCCCCCACAAGGGTCTTCCTCCAGGGGCAAACCAAGAATGGGAAACATGAAAGTCCCTGAACAGACTCAGAAGTGGAGTGGGCAGATCAACAGGCAACCTGGCAAAATGGCACTACCGAAAACAGGCATCCTTAAACTGTGGCCCTCCAGCTGTTTGGGCCTTCAATTCCCAGAATTCCTGACAATTGAACAAGCTCATTAGGGCTTCTGGGAGCTGGAGGCCGCAGTTTGAGGATGCCTGACCTAGAAAAATCCTCTACCTTGTGCGACGATGGAGCAGAATAAACAACTCTAAATCTGCATGCTTGCCCACAATGCCCTGCCTCATGCACAAAGGAAGAATTGTTTAAAGCTACAGACAGTGCAGTCGCCGTCCCCTGTTTTTGGTCTAAAATTACTTAGCCACTTGTGTTCCCTCTATTTTATCAGTTTTATACTTGTCTTAATTAATTCTACACTGCCATATAAAATATAGATTATATATTTTGATAATTTAGATCATATGGCAGTGTAGAAGGGGTCTTAGTTCCATTTCCTCCACCCTCATTCAAATTGCTCACTGAACATTTTTGTAGCAGCTGAAAAAAAAGTTGTAAGAAAAAAAGGGGTTTGCACAGGCAGCCATTCAGTTCTTGAGGAGCATCACTTTCCACCCTAAAAGCTGAGAAGTTGTGCACTCTGGCATAGTAAACAAACTATTGATATCTTGGTCATGCATTTAACAACTTCCCTGGTAGCTATAGTGTCATGTAGGTGAATGAGTCTAGAGGAGGAGGGGAGTTTCAGTCCTCATTTACTTCTTGTTATGATGAGCAAGAGCAGGATCTTAGAGTGTATTATATGTTACAAGTGCTTAAATATTTCTGTAAAACCAATATTAGTTTGAGTTATGAACGATAAAAACAGAATATGTCTGACAAATTGCTTCAGAGACAGTGACACCAAAATGACTGTCTATAATTTTTTGTGCAGTGTTTCAGTAGAATTTTTCTTTAAAAATCCCTGTGGTTAGATATAGAAAAAACAGGTTTCATGTGCTCAGCTTACATGTACTGTATCAGTATACCAGAAGGATAAAACTCTATACTCTTACTTTTTGAACCTTCTAATGTGCACAAGTTCTCTTCAGCGCTGCCATGATAACCCAATTACAG